AAAAAAAAAAAAAAAAAAAAAAAAAAAAAAAAGAGAGAGAGGGAAAGTCTTACACTAGTGCATAGTGCGATTAGCGTCGATTTTTGGCGCCAGTCTTGCCCTATTCCGCTCTAGTATTTACGACTTTATGCACCAAACCACAAGAGATATGGAAAACAAGCACAACAAATGAGCGAATCACCTGCTGAGATGGGACTCCACTCAGCTCAAGAGAAAATCGTTCCTAGCGTCGCCGTTTAGAGCCATTCGCAAATCATGTTAGAGAGAGTGGGAACTCGAGTGAGCCGTCTAGAAGGTTGCCAAAATGCCCAATCGGACGGAGTTGAGGCGACGCTAAACACCAGAGCGCTGGGACGAAGGGGGGACAACCCTCCCTCGCCACTGATGACTCTGCAATGGGTGGTGATTGATGATGTCCGAGGCGAAAGTCCCGCCAGGAACTGATGTATCAGAATTCAGCAAGGGTTTCATTCAACCTTGTGGTGGCTATCCGGCAGCTGGCTGTGCAGCCACTACTGCAGCGAGATCATGATTGGCAACGCGGCGCCCCGCGGCTTGAAGACATTCCAAACTTACTCATACATTCATAGTTCGTCCTTCGCTCCATTCATTATCCATCCCTGGCGGGAGGTCGTTGCCTGGGGGGCGGCAGTGGGATTGACATATGGGGGACGCACTCGTAAGCCGTATGCACATTTGTGCAACTTGTAGCATGCTTGTGCATACATGCATGTATGCATGAACTGTACGGACTACGGAGTACTATTGCTCTCTCTATCTCCAGTTTCATCTGCATCGTCAAACAGATCCATATGCAAAAGCAAGAGAGGGACGCCGAGTCGGTTCCCGCCACCGACGTTGCATGCCCCTGGTGGGTTGGATGTTTCCAGACGGGGGGATGGATCTATCCCTCGGTCAGCCTCTCTCTCTCGCTCTCTCCACTGCACCCCACGGAGGCCACAAATGCAAATGCAGACATGCATCAGCCGTACATCATTAATCTTCTCTGTTCTGTCTCCATCGCCAAATCTGTAGGCGCGTATGATGCATCCTCTCTCTCATCTTTGTCTTCCAGTCCCACTCCATGCTCCTCACCCGATACCAATCGCCCGTACTGTACTAAGTATTCCATAACCGAACCAGGCCAACTCGGAAGTATGTCTCATTCTCGCAGTGATCAACAAAAACCCCCGCCATGGCATGATGTTGTATTCGTAGTGTAGATCTCGTGTGCAAAGTTCCGTCCTCGAAGAGACAGAACCCTAGGGCGTATCACATTACATGAGAGAATTGTTTGCATCACCGGCGGCAAGGACAAAGATCGTTCAATACGTGTAGGTATATCGTCAATAATTCCATCTCAATGCAGTCAGTCATCTTTGGTTAAGTTCTCGAATTCTCCGATCGATGACGATGGAGGTACATTAGGCTATGGGGCTATTTCTGCTACCCCCCGTAAACTGCTAGCAGCAGGGGAGTCCGCGGAGTACAGGGAACTAGTTGAAGTACCCCGCATCTTGCATAACGCCATTTTGACTTCATTGATCGGCTACCGAGAAAAAGCTTCCAACAACATTGGAATCCATGCGAACCTGTTTCTTTGCTTTTTGGGGAGGGGCGATGGAGAGAGTATGAGTGAGTTCTCCTGGCAGTGCTGTACATAGAGGTATGAAAATGTACAGTATACTGAGTATATCAGGTTTGACGTTGGCGCAGGCTTACTCCGCATAATATGGAGAAACTATAGATTCCGCCCACAGATCAGTATGGGTCGCGCGCATGGGGTAAGATGCCGGGAGAATACTACCTAATCATAATAACCTGAGCTTGTCCATAATTCAAGATTCTATGCCGCACGCTAACTGGGATCAAGCAAGAGCGACTCTGGTACTACCACCAGCGACCTCATTCGTCTCTCAATGTTGATGCTGGGACGAACCTTACCATAGACGATTCAATTGGTTTAAACTATGGCTGCTGCCGTGATCGAACCGGCATGTCATAAGAAACTGTTTGCGTTTCCATTAGCAAACACTGTTTACTCATGGTTTGTCTTACTGTAGCAAGCCCTCGGCTCTTGGTTTAGCAGAAAGAAAACTGCGTCTAATCCGAAACTACCAGATGAGAGCGTGGTGATGTTTGGCGTGGGTTATGCTAACCTCGAACCTTCGCGGCAAGGCCTTGAGGACGCTGCCTCTTGCGTTTAGTTCTCAAACCATACAACTGTACTGATATAACGCTGTCATATATGGTGCTGGGTAATACATACTAACTAATTGGAGTAGGAGCAAGCAATTGGATGAAAGTGAGGAAGTAGTAGATAACTCGATCTAATAATGTTAGCAACGGAAAAAAGCTACGGTGCCTGAATAGTCACGGATTATATAGATATACGGATAGAACCCAAGCATTGACAATGAATTCAGGATTCAGACACAGGAAGACCGGATCTTCGAGATTGCACGTTCGAGGACAAATATGACGATAGAAGCCATCTTACTCTTGCCAGATCCCTTATACAGAACAGAATAGATAATAGCTTGATGCATTGATGCATCTCGATGGACGGGGAAAGGAGCCGCGGGCGGGCCGCAAGCCCGCAAGATCCGCGCTTCTTCCATCGATGCCTCTCGCGGAACCACTTCAATCCCGCTCCTCCCACTCGCCATGTCGGAGTCCGGGGATCAGCTCAAGCGCAAACGTGCCCGGGTCGCTTGCGAGCCATGTCGGCAGAGAAAAAGGAAATGCAATGGAGCGACCCCCTGCGCAACCTGCACTGACTGGGGCTATAACTGCCACTATACAGACCAAACGCCCCGGAAACGTCGTCTATCGCAGCCGTCTTCCGCTGCGACGGCAGCGAAGCCATCCTCTCCCGCCGCCGCCGCCGCAGCAGCAGTGGGAGGAGAGTCCCTCCGCTCGCCCGATGAAGCCGTCACTCAATCCCATCATCACCATCAAGGGATAGCCCGCAGTCTCGAAGCGAATTCCGCCGCCGCGTTTGTACGCAAGATGGGCCTCAAGGTTGATCCCGCCCAGGCGCCGAAACTGGCTCTGTTCGGATGGAACATCGGCGCACGGCAGTTATCCTCCGGAACGGGGGCGATCTCCGCCCGACCCATTGTCGATGTCATCTCGGTGGCCGATATGAAGCAGCTGGCCGAGGTCTACTTCACCAAGATCGATCCGTGCTACGGCTTCATCGACCGGCGCGTCTTCGACGACCGCCTCGAGACCCGATGGCAGACCCCGCTGTCCAGCGGTTCCATCTATGACAGCATCCTCGCCGGAGTCGCGGCGCTGGGCTCGCTCTTCTCCCACCGGAACATGACCATTACGGAGCTGCACCTCGTCGAAGCCGCCCGGTCGATCCTGGACGGCCACGACGGGTCCGGCCCCCCGTCCCTCGAGCTGGTGACGGGCTGGGCGCTCCGCGTGGTCTACATGCGCATGACGGCGGCGCCGCACGCCACCTGGATCGCCAGTTCGACGCTGATGCATCTCATCGAGGCGGCTGGTCTGCACCTGGAACCTTCATCTTCTTCTTCTGCAACTTCGCACGACACCGTCCCGTTGCGCGCTCCGGCCACGACGCCGCCCCACGACCGGGAGATCAGCCGTCGCCTCGTGGGCGTCGCGCACCACCTCAACATCTGGACCTCCTTCGACCTCGGCCTATCCCGCGTCGCCTTCCGCACGGGACTGCCGCTGCCAGCCTCGCCCACGAACCCAGGCGACTACACACCCGAGGTGCTCAACCTCCTCCCGGCCTCCGCATGCCTCGACCCGGAGAACTCGCAAACAGACAGCGACCTCGAACCGACCCTCACCAAAGTCCTGCAGGGCACGCACACGCAACCCCCGTCTGTGATGGCCCAGACCAACCTCGTCCTCTGCATCCTGCGCCGGCTCCGCATTCTGAACCTCTCCATCACCCCGCAGGTCACGGACCAGGTCCTCGTCCTCTTCGGCCAGGCCCTGTCGTACGCGCGCACCATGGTCACGGACGGCAGCCCCTGGCACCAGGTCGCCAACGTGCCGATGCAGATCCTCTATGTCCTGCTGGAGATGGACACGCGCGCGTCGCTGGCGATGCTGCCCGTCGCGATGCAGACGGTGACGCTGGTGGCGACCACGTACGATACCGCCACCATGCGCGAGGCGTACAGCACCGCGCGCTTGCTGGTGTCGCTGTACCAGCAGCGTCGTTCGGAGGACACGAGGGTGCTGGCCGAGGTGCTGAATCTGGCTCCCGAGGCAGGGGAGACCGTGACCGAGCCATTCAGCCCGAGGGTCGACGAGTTATCTTGGTTAGAGGGCTTGGTCGCAGAGATGCCTAGTCTACAAGGCCTAGAGCTAGAGCCCTGGCTCCAAGGAGATGTACTTGCCGGAGGTGAAGGATGGGAGTAACACAGATTGAATTGGCCCGCCCGCAGAATGAGAGCAGTGAAGGAACGACAGCAGCAGCAGCAGCCGTCACCTAGTAGGTGAATTGCGCTTTCGCCAGAGTAACAGTAACAAACCAAGAGATGGGTGTTTCTACACCTCATGGAGAGCCCTTCTGCTGCTCCTCCACCTCCACCTCCTCTTCTCCAACATCGACACGACAATTTCCGGCGACTGGTTACGCCCAAGAAAAAGGGCTTCACTCCTTCTATCCCGCTTCTGTCTCCAGTTCGTCGGCAGGTCAGGTAAGAACCTCAGTCAAACGTGACTATTCCCGGTGGTGATGCTGACCTGACCAGATAGTCTAATACTCTAATCTCGCCTAAAGCATAGCGCGCGGGCCTCTCTCCCTAGAGTCGAGTACTATCCTTGTTTTGTCTGGCAGGTAAGTTTGCTCACAATCCCGAAACTAGTAGGAATACATACTTATGGAATTCCTCTATTACTAGTCAAACTCCATCCGGACAGAATGACGACTCACTCGGGAATGGACGGGTTCTGCCTGGTGTGCGGCCACGCCAACAACCACCACCGCACTGCGCCCTGCCCTGCGGCTGGTTGCTCGAATAGATGGAAGGAATGCACCATCAGCGGCTGCTTCAGAATTCCTTCTAAGAGCTCTAAGGGTTCTAAGGCTCCAGCGTACACACCATTCAGGATTTGCTTTGGATGCAAGGATCACCCGGCTTGCAGGGAGGATGTTGATTTTTACAAGGACAAGCAGGTCGATGTCCTGGAGCAGCAGAATAAGGACTACGCCGCGACTGGGACTGCGGGGGGTCAAGATGCTGAAGGGAACTGGACTCGTTGATCTAGTTCTTTGAACTTCTACAAGGCAACTCAAATGCATTGCTGAGACATACCCGCATATTGCGGCGACATTGATGTATTTCATTTCATACCTACTGAGCTAGGCCATTTCACATTATCATGAATCAAGCTTCTAGTAGCCATCGTGCTCTACCGCATCTCTCCATTTCAAGATTCTCTCTAGATCAAGCTCCTTGTGTTGAGGTTTAGAAATCGGAAAGTCATCGTTGTTCCAGGGTTCTTTGATCCAAGGATGTACCTGCATACGTCGGATTGCGTCAAGGTCACCCAACCCATTGTCAAGCCATATAGCACCCTCATGATGTCTCTGCCAACAGAAGAGCCTTTGTGTTCCATTGTGCGATTGCACTTCAGCTAAATCTCTCAAAGGGTGAGGTAATCTAGATTGTCAGCACATATCAAGAATGAAGCGTTGTCTTAGGCTTACTCGTCAGCATCCCCTGCACAACAAAAGTAATTGATGGTATGAACCTTCGAACTGTCGAAGGCATGCTTGCTGCTCGCAGGAATCCTTTGCCCAGATTCTAGTATCCAGTATATCTGCCAAGAAAGAGGTCTATGCATGTGTGGAAGGTGCTCCCTAGCTTCGAGGCTTAGATTTGTTACTGGAGTCGAGCCAAATGGCGGTGCGGGAGACCATGGCCACGGCAACGAACTAGGATTGGACAGACAAAAGTGCGAGGTCTGAAACTCATCCACCCGAGTGCTCAAGAGCTCTTCGGAAGAGGTTGAACGATAGTTCATCTGAAGGAACATTTGAGTTGTGTTTGTCCAGTATGCGGCAGGCAGACAAAGAATTGATGTCCCGCTAAGCGAAGGGCTCAAAAATCGCCTCGCCTGGCTGGTGTAGATTGCGGCTGCCCAGAATAGACTCAGATATGGTTTTTCATACGTGATTGCATGGAGGAGCTGCCGTTCATCAATATTGTCAATAGGGTGACCTAGTTTTTCAAAGGATTTGTGCTCTGAGTGCAGCTGCCCCTCGCTCAGCTTGTTCAATGGCGAGAGAGCTTCACTTATACCTAAGTACGCGGCTCCTACGAGATTGCAGGGCACGCTAGGATCGAAGAACACGCTGCAAATCAGTGAGTCGATAGCCTCTCCTGTTGTGCTGAGAAACATGCATTGATCGATCGATCGGAACAGCTTGTAGTAGATCGTGTTCTTGCAAACCGGGCCTGGGCTCATAGGCATGGCTGAGATCATCACGGGAGGAGGAAATTTGGGCCGAGCTATCGTCCATGATTCTAGATTTAGGATCGAAGTAAGACCGATGAGTAACTCTCCTTCGAGGCCTTCAAATTTGCAAAATTCGACAAGGGCGCCAAAAGCAAGGGCTGAATCTGAAGCGGCCGGTTTCCATTCATCTCTATCAAGCAAGTTAGGGGGCAGACATCAAGCACAACTCAGGCAATAGACATACTGGAGGTTTGTGATGTCAGACAATCTCAGCATCCAAGGAGAGTAGAGTTGTTCTTCCTCGTCTCCGGGGTCTCTGCACCGAGCTTCCCAATGACCCTGCAGAACAATGTCCCAGAAAGAGTTTTCAAGCTGCAAGCCTTTTGCATGAAACATGTGGCACTCCAACCCAGCTTGCTGTAGAATCTCCACCCAGCGGGAAGAAAGGATATAAGACCACGCTAGGGCGATGCTCGTGAAATACCCGGCACGAAGAGGGCTGGCAGAAGCGGGGATTGCAACTTCTGTTGGCATCTCCGTAGCAGTACGGCATGTGACAGGCCGTGGCTTTGCGATGAAGTGACGATACTTGAGTGACATACGAGGTTGATCGCAGGAGGGATCCTGTGTCGAGTCGATGCATATCTCGGATTCGATAAGACAGTCTCCCATATTTCTGACCACCTCTTCCGGAGGCGAATGGAAAAATGGAGGAACGTCCTTGAGCAGGTCTACGAAGGATTGTATGTAGAATTTCAACGAGTCAGAACCCGGGATATGCGCAGTGGCCGCATATTTCCACTGAGCAAGCTTGGATCGATAGCACAAATTGAACTGCGATGTTGTTGGACAGATTCCATCACCAGGAGAAACTCCAGAGCTTCTGTACGAAGAATCTGGGGGTTCTACACTTTTGTGGGTGGCTGGGGTTGGAACTTCATCGTCAGCGGTCGGTAGATGCTTGGAGACGTGCTGTGAATCGACACCAATACTGAGGGGTGATGGTGGGCTGCTGTGAGATAAATCTGATGCTTTATCACTATCATGAGATGTATGGGTCGAATCTTCATTGTCTATGACTGAGGCCATGTTGGAGATGTGTCGCGGAGGGTAAGTTATAGGTTGAAGAGAGTATACAAAGTAGAATCAGCTTCAGAGGCGAACAAGAAAGCAGTTTGTAGAGGAAGACAAGTGCTGGGCCCAGATCGCTGGTGTATCTAGTGCTGAGAAACTCGCTAGAGCTTCTCCTTTTCTTCTGAGTGAAGTGAGGAAATGTAGAGATGTGGATGGGTGGGAAATTGGTGGCTGCTTCTTAATCGGGTACTCGACGCGACGGGCATGGGGTGTCAGGTGATCAGAGCATGTTGATACAATTCAATTTTTTTCTACTACTTCGAGGCAATCCAGTATTTGTCACATGATGTGGTTTCCTTGATTTGAACTAAACACTTGGTTTGTTATGAGATCCTATTACTAGAAGCCACGGACTCATCCCGACCAACTATTCATGTCCATCCGCCGGCCAGATCTGGCCGTTATTGGTCTTTACCACACTGAATTTTCCAGCCTTACGATCCGCGATTATCACCTCTTTGGGCTTGATAAACAATGGTTCGACGATATCATGGTACTCATCGAGGTACGGTCTTTTCATCGCCACCTGCTCCCATATCAGCAGCAGAGATCCAAGCCGAAGAGAGCCAGCTATCTTTGGAAGGAAACAGAAGCCATACATTCACCACCCATTCCTTTGATGCGTTCCTAGAGTACCATCAATTAGCAACGGCTGATAAAAAGCATGATATTTAGGACGAGATCACCAATTCTTGAGCACCAAAATCTCTCCCTTGTTTTCCTGCGACTGATACACTTCGAAGAGCGTGCATTCGGGCTCGCGGGCAATCTTGTAGAAGACGACCCCGAGGGCTTCGAAGTATTTCGCAACATCCTTCTCCGCCACCCAGATGCGCACCTGGAGTGACACAAGATCAGAAGACTCCGACATGGTGAGGGCTTGCGAGTATCGGTCTTGAAAGGTAGCTTCAGAGCAGTCTTCGTCTGGTCTCCAACGACGGAATCATGAGGGCTTTATATAATCCCTCGAGACCCAGATTCGAGCCTTGCGGCTATAAGTGTAATCCCCCATAGTGAGAGTTACACCTTTTCAGCATTGGGTTGCTCGACTCGAGTATCGAGCCGTCTTTCCGCGATGTGGTGCTACTTCTGAGAACTCACAACGCAGGCATCCTCGATACTAGCCAACTGTCCTTGACTCGAGAGTCCCACAGAACAGCTCCAATAGAGATCTCGACCGCGGACTGTAAGGACCCATTCTGCTTTTGCAAGTGACACAGAGCACACCTCGTGGGTGTAGCCTATAGAGGAAGCACTTTACTCTGTCACCAGATTGTCATCTGAGCTACGATCGATGGGACACCGACAGGTTCAAGAACATCGCATGAAGTGGATCTTCCCCAAGCTGGCTGTAGACAGCACACTTGCATCCGGGAAGAAGTCAAAAACCGACGAAAGGGATTGCCAAGCTACCAGTATATCAGTTGGACAGCCTTCTTCGGATCATTTTACCGGAGCATCTCGTCTTGGACTACTCAGCGGAAGACTGAAACTGTAAGGACTGTTACCAGAACGGAGAGATGTGGTTGTACCAACTTAAGCCAAGTCAAACATTCAGTTGGAGAAGTAAACCGTTCCTGGCAATCACATGCATTCAATTAGGTATGAAAGTGACACCCAAGGTTAATTCCGAAAGAGGTTAGACCATTCCCCGCAGCAACCGAAGCTTCCCCCCCCCCACCAAACTCACACGCCGCCCGCCGGCCCGGTCTCGTCGCCGGTGAGTAACAGCTTCACCACCCCCTCACCATCACCACTACTACCCTGCACCTCAATCCCTTTATCCCTCTCTTCTCTCCGAAGTTTCACAGATACCCCAATCATACCTCCAACCCCGACAACCAAACCAACCACAATGCCCTCCCTCAAAGAAAGCACCATCGCCTTCATTGGCGGCGGCAACATGGCCTCGGCGATCATCAAGGGCCTGGTCGCGCAGAACATCGAGAAGCAGAAGATCATCGTCGCCGAACCGTGGGAGGTCAACCGCTCCAAGATGGACGCCATTGGCGTGCGCACCACGACCGACAACGTCGCCGCCGGCGGGGACGCCGACATCGTAATCATCGCCGTCAAGCCGCAGATCACCAAGACCGTGTGCCAGGAGCTGGCCGCCTCGTGGGCCCAGCGCTCCGCGCTCCCCATCGTCGTCAGCATCGCCGCCGGCATCACGATGAAGAGCCTGCGCGAGTGGGTCCAGACGAGCGACGGCCGCTCCGCGCACATCGTGCGCGTCATGCCCAACACCCCCGCCTTGGTGAACGAGGGCGCCTCGGGGCTGGTTGCCAGTGAGGACGTCACGGCGCAGGAGAAGGAGGTCATCAACGAGCTTCTGGGCAGCGTGAGCAAGGCGACGGAGTGGGTGGATCGCGAGGAGCTATTGGACGTTGTCACCGGGTTGTCTGGTATGGTTTTCCGCACCCCTTCCAAACTTCCTCCCGAAGGGCTCCTTGCTGAACAGACTCGAAATTCAGGATCTGGCCCGGCCTATTTCTTCGCCATGGTCGAGCATCTGGTGGCCAGCGCGACGGCTCTGGGACTGTCCAAGGAGCAGGCGACCCGTCTGGCGGCGCAGACGTGCCTGGGTGCCGGCAAGATGCTGGTGGAGTCGGATGAGGAGCCCGCGCAGCTGCGCAAGAACGTCACCAGCCCCAACGGCACGACGCACGCGGCCCTGCAGACCTTCGAGGCGCTGAACTTCAAGGAGATCGTCGACAAGGCCGTGCAGTCCGCTACGGCACGGGCGGAGGAGTTGGGCAAGACCCTCGGTTAAATATGATCTTCGTGAAGTACAAAAATGACATAGAGTTTATGATTCGAACTTTTCTTCCATTCAGCTACAAACTCTTCTCTGAAGAAACTTAGTGCTTTGAAAACTGGCGTGGTAGCGTCAACATAGAGCACTTAGACGAGACTCCGAAACAACACAACCTCTCGACACCTACTTGCTGTACCACTACTGGTGAAAAGCTGCTTTATTCACAAAATTACAATTCAATTCCAAGATAAATCCAAACAAAAATCTTTTAGCTGACATGTAGTAGACCGAGCATTACAATACATCATTATGGAAGATACATTAGAGCGGAGCGCCATTTGGACTCTCTGTCAACACTTAGGTATGGCAGGAAAGAGAAGGCGCTGGCTGTGGAAAGGGTACAAGGTTGATAGGCAGCACACGAACCGAGAACCGGGCAGTCCCTCAAGCGGCGTGCATGGCACCGTGCTTGCAGTATGTGCCCGCAGCGACGGATCCCATGTGGACCGGACGGCCATGGGCACACAGGGCCCAGCTCTTGCCGTCCTCGTCACAGATGATAGTGTTGTCCACGCAAGCGCCGCCGTGGGTGTTACTGTGGGCGGCACCGTGAGCGGCACCGTGCACGTTTCCATGGGAGGAGCTACCGCTACCGCCACCACTACCGCCAGGGGCAGCGCGGTCGGACTCGGCCTCTGCGGGGGCAGGGGCAGCAGGGGCAGTGGGGAGGAGCACGGTGTGCTCGGTGTTGGAACCAAAGGCGGATGCCACCTTAGAGGCCGACGAGTGGGAAGAAGAGGAAGAGGAAGAGGATGGCGATGCATACCCCGCCGCCGAGGACGTCAATGCGTTGTGGGAGGAGGAAGAGGAAGACGCAGGGGACGAGGCGGCGGAGTTGGAGCCGTGGGAGCCGCCCAGGAAATCCGCCGAGCCGGTGCAGGTGTAACCGGTGCCGGAGCCGCTACCCTCCACGGACGAGCCGGGCATGGGGAAGTTGACATCCTGGCCTTCCGTGGTCGTGCAGCCGCCCGGCCCGTTGATGTTGGCGATGAACATGGGCGGAGCGCTGCTGTAGCTGGCGACGGCCCCGGCGACCTCCTGCTGCGCGACGTCCCGCTTCTTGGAGCCACCGATGGTGACCTGGGCGCAGTTCATGTACATCTCGCGGTTGCCGACCTTGTTGAACCACGACCACGCCAGGAGCGCCTGCCCGCCGGGAGCGTCCGAGGGGATCGAGAACTGGTACTTGGAGGTGAGGGGGCATCCGCCGATCATCGAGTGGATCACCTTGAACGACTTGCCCTGGTCGTAGGACAGGGAGATTTGGCAGGACCCTCCCTCGTGCGTGGCACTGCCCTGCAGTTCCAGGCTGTATGAACCACCCGGGGAGTAGTTGGCCACCGACGAGAACGGGTCATTCGCGTATCCCTTGCACGGGAAGTCGTGGCCGTCACTGGACAGAGGGTTGGTGTACGAGTAGTCCTTGTTGTCACCGCCGTTGGGGTTGAGGGGACTGCGGATGGGGTACGGGTTGGACATCTGGATGTGGGCCGACACCGACGAGGCCAGAAGGCCGCAGAGAAGGGCAACACTCTTCATCTTGAGGTATATGGGAACGCGTGGTTGTCTCTGACACGAAAGGGAGCCGACTAAGCTGGGGCAATCGGCTTGGTTAGTCGTGGGTTCTTCATGTCAAGGGTCTTCAACCTTGTGAAGGTTCGGGGTTATAACACTTACACTGCTTGTATCCACAGTCAGACAGATATGCCACAATTGCGCCAATGTTCACTGAGGTAGACAACGGCTCGTCTGCTCGTGTAGCGTTTTCAAGAGATACCCTGGGCTGCGCACGAAGGAGAAGGCACAGACGTCTCAACAGCAAGAGATGAAGGAAACCAGTTCCTATAAATAATATGAATAGCAAGTGGCATGCCTGACAAGCTTATTCCAGGTCTCCGACTGGGTCCCTGGAGGAATGGTGGATGTCCTGTTGCAACGGAATGCAGGTCCGCGTAGGCTTGACAACAAAAGAGCCATCGGCATTCCGTGCCACCTGCTCGACCGAGTTTGCTGTCCGATGAGCCCGCTTCGTCTCGATCTTGCTTAGACTCTCTGGGCTTACCTGTCAAGATATTGAAATGTCAGTTGAAGGCTTCTAACTAGTCTCCAATGTTGCTATAGCTCGCTCATAGCCATGACAAAGGCCGGACCCGGGCGTCAGTCGTGCGTATATGTAATATAGAGTTTCAACCAGGAAAGTAAGCAACCAATAACAAGTGCATCGTACCGAAGCTAAATCTTTGATCGCCAGGTACAGTCTTGTCGGTAGCCTGAGCCACGGCTTTGAAGCACAGATGGTGCATCAACGGCCGCCCCAACGGTCGATCACCCTAGCTGCCTTGAGCAGCAAGTATTTAGACAGGCATCCACCCCCCAATCTCGAAACTTATTTTTGCCTCCCTCTTGCATCATAGTTCTGCCCTATCGGCCATGGTATTGGCTCCTTCTTTCGGCCGCAATGTCTCGCATCACGAGAATACTAACCACTGCGTCTTGGATTCCGCCCCCGAATGTTTTAGACCAAGTCCTCTGATCCAGGGTTTCAAGGTTCTTCCACTGAATACTTTGGCAAAAGGAGCCCCTGTCCAACCAGTGAAGGAGGAAGCAAAACTATTCGTGCCCGTCCAACATGCCAAACGTTCCCAGGGCAGACAGGGGGGCTGGGAATCTGGCTGAGCCGCGGGAGGTTTGCCACCCCCTACGGGGACGGGCGAGTCAAGAAACAGACAAGCCAGATGTTACTCGTAATAATGTATAGACTTAGGATCGGAGACTTTCATGAGGATCTGCAGCCCTTTCCGTTCCGCGCGCACTGGCCCCTGCAGGCACGTCTCAAGGTCAGGAGAACTTGCTGTCCAAGGCATTCTTCGTCTGTCGCTGCTTCAGCGTCCGTGACGACATCAGTTTCATGTTGATGTTGCGCTGTTGCTTTCTACTCCGTGTCAAGAGGTTTCGGCGGGCTATGCTTTTCTCATCAAATTCGCGCAGATCATAGCGCTTTGGCCGAACGATGTCCGTGGTGTCCGTGAGGTTTCAGAAACATAGGTAAAAGGGCGCAAGGGGCTTCCCTCTTGGAGCGGGTATTTGATACGGTTCTCGGTACTTTTGGGCCAGAGGTAGTGAGTTGAGCAAGCCATGCTCAATTTCTGGAGAAGCGCAAGAATTTCCCGCTCTGCTAATGCACCATACTTCTGTGAAATACGAAAGTCAGAGAGAGTGATTGGACTGGCGAGACGAGACCTGAGCTTCCAGGCAATGGTCTGCTTTAGACGTTCAGCTTCGAGATAGCTTCAGCGAAGTAGTCAGAGACCCGGGGCCTAGTAGAAGCAGTAGATAGCAAAGAGAAGCTTAT